CAGTGTGTCTTCACACTACAGGTGAGGAAGGAGAGGCTCGAGGAAGCAGCCTCCTGCCTAGGTCACACTAGTGAGGCATAGATTTGGGATTGGAACCTGAGGCTTCTGGCTGTCCAGTACAGAAAGATCTGCAGAAACAATAGCACTGAGGGGGCAAGCCAGCTAGCCCTAAGGTGGCACTATTGTCTGGTACAGCAGTTTCCGCAGGCAGGGGCACTGCATAATGACTCCAGTTCTACTACCCACCAGGGTTGTGATTCTGGGCTGGCTCCTGGGCCTCGCTGAGCCTCACAGCTTCCCCATCTATAAGACAGGGACCATGACACCTACCTAGGTAGATGCTAGAAGAGGCCCTAGTCCTTATGGCTTCCTCTAAACAGAGGCTGGACCCCACCCCCCCTCCCCATTTCCAACCCCCTCATCCCCCTCAAGCCAGATCTGGTAGGGGTGGGGCACATGGGTCCTCATCTCTACCCTCACTTAGCTGGACCCTGGGGAGGAGGGGGCGGGTAGGTGGCCCTCCCTGGGAGGCCCAATCTGGGGCTGGGAGGAGGGAGACCTCCAATCCCAAGAGGGGCCACAGGGGGGCTGTGCGGGCTGGGAGGCGGGAGCGGGAGAGAATCCACCGGGGAGGCATCCTGAATGGCTCATTAGTGCCGATGAAAGCCTTTTTTCATTTCGTCTAAATACTTTAAACAGGGCTCCCTCCGATGTCTATTTGCATAGCTTAAGCGCTAATGCGGGGGGAGGGCCCAGGCAGCAGCGGGCCACGCCGGGGCTGGGGGCTGTGGGGGAGCTCCCGGGCCTCCTTCCCTGAGGGAATTGCGGTGGGGGAGGGGAGGGGTGTTTCCCAGATCCAGTGCACTTGGAGGATGCAGCCCCCAGCCCTGCAGGAGGGGAGAAAGGAGCAGCCGGGCAGTGCATCCCTGTGTTCTGGCACCAGGTGGACCAGGCAGGTGGGGATTATGAAGGATTATCTTGCTGTGGGCCACTGCTATGTCCCCCACAGCCATGCCAGGCCTTGAAGGTGGCTGCTCTTTGCATGGATGTGCAGTATTATCCTTGTTTTATGGATGAGGACTCTGACATGCTCAGGGTCACACACACTACTACGTAACAGGGAACATGGTCCCCCAGAGAGTAGAGGCCTCACCTAGCGGGATCAGCCCCTCTCTATGCTAGAGGCCCTCTTCAGTGTTGCCCTGACAGGGGGCTGCCCAACCTCTGAGTGTGGCCTCTCCCTCTGCCACGACACTATTATTTAGAGCATTCAGATTCTCACAAAACCCCTCCAAAGTGTCTGTTTTAACAGCTTAGGAGGAAACAGCTCTGACAGGTGGCTTGTCCAGGCTCACATGATTTTGAAGTGGCTGAGCTGACACTTGAACTCAGGTTTGTGTGACTCTTTGCCCTGGCCCTGCAGAGCAATGTTGTTGGGTCTCTGGTTTGGGTCCCAGGTTCAGATATGCTTCGGGCATGGGGTAAGGGTCTCCTTGAGTCCCAGCCAAAAGACTTCTGAGGACCTGGCTCGGCTCAGGCTCAACCCAAGGCCCAGATGCCAGAAGCTCTGGCCCCAGCCACTTCTAACCTGCATGAGACCTTGGATGAGTCCATTCGGGAGGAATTTGGGCCTTAGTTTCTCAACTGGCTAGAGTGTTCTCTGCTGGGTAGCTATAGTCTCTTCCTCTCAAGAGGCAGGCTGGTGTCTGAGAAGACTTAGGGCTTTGAAGCCAGATTAACATAGGTTTAAATCCCAGCTCCACCACTGTGAGACTTTGGGCAAGTCCTCACCTCACTTCGATAGGCTTCAGGTTCTTTGTAAATAGGAGTAAGATTCGCATCTCACAGAGTTGCAGTGTTAATTAAATAACACACGGTCCAGGAAGGGCCTGACACAGTAGGTGCCTGATGAGACTGGGCATCTAGGCCCCTGACACCTCCTTCTGCTGTCTCCTATATCACACTCTCCCCCTTTGTCAGTCCCTGCACCCCTGTACTGTCAGTCCAGGCAGAGAGAAGCTTCTGACCTCCTGGCCACAACCCTGGGAACCTAAGGGGCAAATTACAGGGCCTCAGCCCTCCAAAAGTTAACCAGGGTAACTGGAGATGCCCTCTTCCCAGAAATGGCTTGTCTCCCAAGGATTATTTTACCCTCTCTGACAATGGGTAGCACCCACCAGGACCAAGTGGCAGCTGATTTTGGAATCAATTTGCTCATTTGATATGTTATCTCGATCCCATTTAACCAAATGCTCAGTCCCTCCCGATAACACAATCACTGCAATCGACAGTGACAGGAGGTACCCATTAGCTCCACTCCATTGCCCAGCAGCACCCACCTGGCAGCTGGCAGGAAGAGCTGTGCTCACTCTGGTCACTTCCTGAGTCAGAGGATCTCTGGGCACTCCCTCTCTCAATGAAGAGTCCCAAAGATACCTACCTTGGAAGCCATAGGCCACATCTCTTGTTGGGCAGTCCTGGAAGGGGACACAGGAACAGTGAACAGCTCCAGGGAGCTCCAGTCTTATGTGATGAGAAAGGATCATCTTCCTTGTGCCATGCCAAGATCAGCCTCAGCTCACCTGGCAAAGACTGTGTGACATCTGGGGGGTGGGCAAAGAGAGTAGCCCTGTCTTGGCATGTCATAGGCACTGCCTAGACCCTCCATCACTGATTCAGATGAAAGACACAGGGCACTGGTGGACCATCTGCTCTGGGGAGTATGGGCTAGCCAAGCATCTAGTTTGGACACTGTGTTGTCAGTGCCTCGCATGGAATGCCAGGGCACAGACGGGCTGCTTTAGTAGGCATCTCAGGAGACAGTGGTTGGTCCTTGTTTCTCAGGGCTTTAGGGTGCCCAGGCCCCTCTGACCCAAAAGAATGGGGAGCCCTCCAACTTGTGCCCTCCTCCCCCACCCCAGTTTCCTCCCTCCTCCCATTTGTCTGACACATCAGAGCTGTTATGGTCTCCTGAACAGAATGTAGGCCATCTGCCACTTCCTCGCGCCTGCCAATCGATGAGGTGGGTGTGAGCCTGTGGAATGACAGCCCCACCACCAGACGTGCAGAGGAACCGACCTTCTCCTTGCAAACTCTGTTATCTCGCCCTGACTGTGTTTCCCTTCAAATCCTCATGTAGCCATTTTGAGAGCTGTAAGGATCAGGAATATCCTCCCAGCCTTCTCAGAGCTAGAAAAATTCTATATGAGCTAAGTCTGGTGCCAGCATCCATTGACCTTTTCTTTTTTTTTTTTTGCCTTTTGTCTTTTTCCGTGTCTGGCAACGGATCGCAACCCTCAGTGTTGCCCCCGTACCAGACCGGGGACTGGCAACGGGATCGCAACCCTCGGTGCTGCCCCCGCGCCTCGCTCAGCCAGTGAGCGGGAACCGGTCTGTATGTGGGATCCGAACCCTCAGAGCGGGAGCGCCGCCGCACTTCCCAAGCGGTGCACTTATCCAGTGCGCCACCGGGCCAGCCCATCCATTGACCTTTTCTTGGCAGCTAAGGATCTTGGGATCCTAGCAGGCCACAAGCAGAATATGCATCATTTCTTCAGCAATGTGTTTGAATAAGTCAATATAATCAATAGCAGAGCAATCTGTACCTCAGACCAGAGACAGCAAATCAGTTTTATCTTCCATAGTTTATCTGATTGGTAGTGGCTGCATGAACAACTGTGTTGGGCAAGATTCTTAATTCCCCTGTGGCATCAGCAAGAAATAACCAAAATTGATTAGCAATGTCTGCCATGGGTTGTGGGGGAGAGGGATTGCAGGCCAGATGTCCATTCTATCCCTGTTTTAGACCCTGGCCTAGATGGACTCTGACTAGTGTCACAGAAAGATAAAAAGAATTCAGGGATACATATCAAATGGGGAAGGGAAATATCATCTCAGTCAATCTTAAAAAAGGAAACCCCATGTTACAAGTGAGAAAACTAAGGTCCAGAGAGTTTAGGTTATTTGCCAGAGGTCACACAGCCCTAGAGTGATGGATCTGGGATTTGAAATCACACCTGCCTAGCTCTGGAGCTTGGCTCTTCCCATTCTACTCACATTACTGCTCTAGAAGGACCATAAAAATAGGAAAGGGAATGAAAAAAATGATCTTCTGAGAAGTGAGAGAAATGGGACCTCATGGGACCCTAATAAAGAAGTCATGCTACTCCTTCCCTATTGGGTCAAAGGGGAAAAAAAGTCATGCACCCATGAGGAAATCTAAAATAAAATCCCAGGGGTCAGCCCGTGGCTCACTCGGTAGAGTGCGGTGCTGATAACACCAGGGCCACGGGTTTGGATCCCATATAGGGATGGCCGGTTGGCTCACTGGGTGAGCATGGTGCTGACAACACCAAGCCAAGGGTTGTGATCCCCATACCAGTCATCTTTATATAGGAAAAAAATAAAATAATAAAATAAAATAAAATCCAAAATATGTGAAGCATTTCCTGAGACTAATGACCAGCAGGTTCACTGAGAACAAGAAATGAACCTTCATGCCCCGTAACCTCAGACAGAAAAGTCTACGTGGTGGGGGACAGTATACTTGCTAAGGTTCTCATCTCAGCCCTTCAACTGGTCATGTGGCTTTTAGCAAGTCATTTCCTTTCTCTGGCTTATTTCCTCATTAGTAAAATAAGGCCTTTGAGCTACATTAGGAATGGCAAATATTTGTTATATCAGTCTGAGATATCAGGCATGGCTGCCTGGAGTGCTGTGTCGAGAAGGATTCTGAAGCTGAATCTGAAAACAGCAGGAAATAGTGCAATGATCAATTAGCAATGTCTGGTGCTGGATGAGAAAGGATCCTCATATGCCATCCTTGTGATGTCATCTCACTTCCAGCTCCAAAATTCTACAGCTCTGTGCTTCTCAACAGTGAGCACACTCCCCAAGGCGCTCTGTCACAAGAGAGATGGACCTCCTATGCCTGGGCTGGGCGTGATGCTGCTCACTGTGGCACAAGGGGAAGAGACTCTGATCCTCCATTATTATTTCAGGACTCTCCTCAGAGGCCCCAACCATGGGGGAAGGGCAAGCCCCAGGCATGGAGGAGACGGATGGGGAGCTGACAGCGGCCCCCACACCTGAGCAGCCAGAACGAGGTGTCCACTTCGTCACAACAGCCCCCACGCTGAAACTGCTAAACCATCACCCACTGCTCGAGGACTTCCTACAAGAGGGGCTGGAGATGGGGGAGAAGGAACTGAGGCCAGCACTGCCCTTCCAGCCTGACCCACCTACACCCTTCACCCCAAGTCCCCTTCCCCGCCTGGTCAACCAAGACAGCCGCCCTGTCTTTACCAGCCCCACTCCGGCCATGGCTGCAGCACCCACTCAGCCCCAGTCCAGGGAGGGACCCTGGAGCCTGGAGTCAGAACCCCCTGTGCTTCGTATTGCAGCTCCCCTACCTCCAGGACCCAGCATGGCAGTGCCCACCCTAGGCCCAGGGGACAGGCCCAGTACTACACCCCCCAGCAGAGCATGGACTCCAACCCAAGAAGGTCCTGGAGACATGGGCAGGCCATGGGCTCCAGAGGTCATGTCCCAGACCACAGGGCTCGGAATCGAGGGGACCATTGCCACCTCCACAGCTTCAGGGGATGACGAGGAGACTACCACCACCACCACCATCATCACCACCACTATCACCACAGTCCAGCCACCAGGTCAGCTACCTGCTGGTTTGCAGAGCCACAGACGGGGATGGGGGAAGCTGTGGGGCCCCTAAATGCTTCTGTCTCTGACACTGTGCCAGCCTGCCCTGCCTTTTGGCACCAGGTGCCAGCCTGCAGAGGGCATATGAATTGGAATGATAGACTCAAGTTCAAATCCTGATTCTTCCAACTATACATGACCCTAGGAGTTTTATTTAACCTCTCTGAGCCTCATCTATAAAATAACATTAAGAAAACCTTTATCATTGGCCATTGTGAGAACTCAGATAAGACTGCACATAGCAGGTACTCAATAAAAGGTAGTTGCCTTCTTTCAACAGGGGAATAGATGTCCCAAGAGATGGGCTTCACTGCACACACACACACACACACACACACACACACACACACACACACACACACAGAGTCCAGCCTTTGTTGGACCCACTTCACCAAAACTGGCTTAGCCATGTGTTTCCTCCTGCCTCCCAGGCTCTTGTAGCTGGAATTTCTCAGGCCCAGAGGGCTCTCTGGACTCCCCCACAGCCTCCAGCTTACCCCCTGATGTCGGCCTGGATTGTTTCTACTACATCTCCGTCTACCCTGGCTATGGTGTGGAAATCAAGGTGAGTGACCTGGATCCAGCAAGGGCAAAGCTGGGGCTAGCGCATTATCTTTCCCCAGAAAGGCACCTGCTATGAGGCGAGGGGAGGATTCTTAGGGGCCTCAGTTGGAGGATTGGGAGATGGGCTGAAACATGGTTGGATTATGTCCTATGCACCAGGGAGTGGAGAGGACTACTGCTCTCATTCAGCAATGCCCTTGGCCAAGAGGGGCTATGGGAGGGGCAGGTGCACCCACCCTCTTCCCCCAGGGGTTTGATCAGGGGCTCAGGAGAGCCTGAGGAGGGGGTTCTAGCCTTGGATGGACAGGAGACTGGATGAGTGTGAACTCTGCATCTGAATCTATGTGGCTGAGCAGAGAGAACACAGGGCTGCCTGGTTGGGCCTAAGAGAGCCATGAAAGCTCATTTATTCACTAATTCATTCCTTCGACAAATACTCCCTGAGCAATCCTCTGGGCCAGGCCCTGTGCTGGCTCCTGGGATGCAGAGGTGGGGAAAACAGATATGACTGCATCATCAGAGAGGTGACCAGATGGTGGGTACAGCCCCAGCCTTCTGCCCCCAGCCTCCCTGGGCCATTTCATCCCTCCCTTGGGATTAAGACTCTCTTAATCCCAAAGTCTGAGCCTGAAGATCCTCACAGATGTCCCTGAACCTCCACAAACCCAAATCTTCCTTTTGTCCCCCCAAATCTACTTGCCACCCTACACTTGTCCAGGTTGGAAACCTGGAGCAGGGACACCACAGTACAATGTGGATGGCATCCCTGGAGCTGTGCAATGTGGAGTCACGTTGGCCCTTCCCTCTCCCTCTTCTCCCCGTCCCATCAACTCATCCCCAAGTTCTGTAACCACGACACTCCCCTAAACTCTCAAATCTGCCTGCTTCTCTCCCTCCAGCCCCACAACCATCATGTGGCCCCTCCCCCATCAGCCCTCCCCTGGTTGATGCAATGGCCACCTCACTGGTCGTCCCACCACGTTTGCTCCCTACTATCCTCCCCCACATACACTGCAGCCATTTTCCTCCAGTGAGATACTTCCTGGCCCTCACGCTTTCCCAGGGTCTCTGAACCAAGGCCAGTCCCTTCAAGTCTCTAGCCACTTCTTCCCTTTGCACTGTGCAGCTTGCAGCTAACTGATGGGCCGAGCCTTCTTTCCTCACAAGTCCCAACTGCACATACTGGTCCCTCCTCCTGGAAAAGATGTCCCGCTACTCGCTCCCTTTGGACTCAAACCTTGGTATCACTTTCTTTGGGAATTCTCTCCTGATCCCCAAAGCCTGGGGCATCTCCCATCTTAGCTCTTATCACTTTGCCTTCTATCAGTCTGTTTATAGCTGTCCATCTCCCCAGCTAGACTGTGAGCTTTTTTTTTTTTTTTTAAAGATGAGCGGTAAGGGGATCTTAACCCTTGACGTGGTGTTATCAGCACCACACTCTCCCGAGTAAGCCACGGACCAGCCCAGACTATGAGCTTCTTGAAGGTTGCCTTGTAATATGAGGCCCAGAATGGGTACTCCCTGGACTGATTGAATGAAAGGAGTGGAGGGAGGAAGGATTGAAGTGACATTTGACCTAGATCTTGGAGACTCACTGGGGTTGGGGGGAGGGGCATTCAGCTCAGCTGAGGGAATCAGGCAGGGGACGGAGGAGCCATAGGGAAGGCGGCAGAGGAGGAGTGTGTGGAACAGGGTAGTGCTGCCCTCCCGGCCTGCTGCCCACCCATCCCAACTCCCACAAACCCCTGAATATGGGCCTGGAGCCAGCTACACCTGAGCTGGGGCAGTGCCTCTAGCCCACCCCTCTGGGGTATCAAGTTCAGATCTCTGAGCCAGGTGCTGTGGGGGAGAGGCCCTCTTTTATCCATGCTGGGCGCCCCCACTTCTTTCTGCAACTGGTTGCTTTACTCAGCCAAGCCCTCTGCCCCCTCACTCTAGGCTGACTGGGAGGGTAATTAGGAACAGCCACTGCCCACCCCCACAAGCCATTAGCACTCAGCGCTGCTTAATTAAGGTAATTAATGTAAAATCATCACCTAATGAGAGGTGGCACCGGCTGTGGCTCACCGGGTGGAAGGCACCAGCTGCAGGTGTGGGGAAGGGGGTGGGAGGGGGCAGATGCCAGGCTGGGTGCCCCCCTGCAGGCCTGGGCTGGCCCCATCTGCCCCCCAAGACTACCACCCCCACTGAAGCCCATGGGGCCAAGCTGGGCCCAGTTCCGCTACCCACCACAATGGGGCAAGATGATGGCACTGCCTGCTCCTGCCCTGGCCTAGGCACAAGCCCCATCCTGGATGCCCACTCCCTCACAAAAGCCCTGTGTCTGCTCTCTGGTGCTGCCACATTTTTTTCATCATAATGCAAAAGCCGTTACCAGGCAACCTTGAGACGAAGACCTGCCACAGCCCTGAATTGCTGTCAGGAAACGTGGCAGATACTGGCCCCACCCTCTACCTTGGCACCATGGGGGCAGAGTCCTTGGGGACCCTGTCAGCCCTAATGGCATGAGATATAGTCTGAGGCCATAAGGTGGTGGGGGAACAGGGTGGCAAGAGCTGGACCAGCTCCCGATTTGGGGGAGGAGCAAAAGACAGAATCAACCAGGATTGAAGAAGGATTTAAGGTTCTTCTCCTTCCAGGGCCACTTTCTGCAACTTCCACAACTACCCAAGACCACTGGCCAACCATGCAGGCCACTTGGGACCTAAAGAACTACTGACACTGCAGACCAGTACCCACTGGATAGTTAGAAAAACTTAGTCCAAGGCAAGGAGAAGGAATTGCCTAAGGTTACTCAGTTAATCATTAACTAATGGTTTTTGATGAAGGGATTTGTTGGCAAACCTAAGTACAATGAGCCAGACTCTGGGCTGGGCACTGGGCACCCAGACCTTCACGGTTATTGAGGGGGACAGAAATCATAAACGATGACCATAGAATGCTCAGTGCAGGCGGGGATGGGGATGGGGATGGGAAGCACATGGGCTGTGGGTATTCCTGAATGGGCACTCCCAACCAAGCGTGTGGGGTCAAGGAAGGCTTCCTGGAATTCATGACACCTGCTCTGAGGCCTGTAGGATGAGCAGCCAGGCCTGGGAAGCAACAGGTGTGGCAGGCCTGGCTCTTGAAACCTGCCCTGGCTGTTTTAGAAAGGTCTTTTTGTTGCATAGGAGTAGGGGATGAAGGTAAGGGCTTCTGAATTATAATCCTGCCCAGGCTGGCAGTTGAGCTGGGCCATGCTGGGTACTGGGGGTGGGGTGGAAGGCCTAGAATGCTGCCCACAGCTCCTCAGTCTTGCAGAGAGGGGACTGCCTGTGGCTTCTTCCCATCATGGATAAACCCCTGCCTTCCCCTCCCTGAATTCACCTGGATCACTCAGGGTAGGTAGGTGGGATGGAGTTTGGGCAAAGGGGATGGGAGGAGCCACGGAGGAGAAGGTTGTTTTAAGGACCCACAAATCACACCCCTGAGTGGTCAGTCAGACACCATGCTGAGCCCGTCATGTGAGTACAGCCCTTGCCTAACATCTGGGGCCCTGGGCAAGACCCTCTCAATTCCCTCCTTTCAAGGAGCAGCCTCAGAGGTACCAGAATCACTAAAAGCCTAGTTCTCCATGTTGTGGACCACAGCCCCTCATAACCTGTTTCATCTCCTGCCTCCACCTCCCTGCATGGTGCTACAGCTTTGGTGCCCTCTGAGGCTGAGGGTCTGAGCCACTCTCAGGGAGGAGGCCAGGTAAAGCCCTCCATAATCAGAGAAGCCTTGCCTGCTTCAGCCAGCGGTCAGGCGCTGGGATAGCTTTCTTGAGAGGCCCCTTCAGGATGGGTGGGCATATGCCCCATAACCCATGTGGGTCCCATGCCCACCCCAGGCAGCCAGTCTCCCCCTGAGGGTTCCAGGCCTTTCTGGCCCCAGTGCCTGCCTCTTACTGCACTTGGCATTCCAAGGGCCTTCCTGCTGCCAGCCTCCTTCTTGGCTCAGCTGCTCTCTGTACCATCTGGAGCCTGGGCACAGCTGCCCATAGTCTCTGCCCTTGTGCCCGAGGTGGCCCCATTGGCACACATCTCTCCTATGCTAGGCCAGCTGTCAGTTTGATAGCCAGAACACCCTGCCCTTCTAAGCCACATCAGGCCCACGCCTGAAGTGGACACGGGGGGCGGGGGGGGTAGGGTGGGATTTCTGAGCAACTTCCTATTTCCTGGCCCCGGGAAGGCCCATCTGGGGGGAGTGACAGGGGTGCAGGCAAGTCTGCCCCATGAATTTAGGCCCTTCTCCCCATCCCTAAAATAGACCTTACCCCATAAGGTTTTATGGACGAGTGCCAGTTCAGAGGGCACAGGAACTGTCATGTAGGACTGGGACTTGCAGCCCACATCTCAGTGACTGACCTAAGCCCTGGCTTTCTCTGGGTCTCAGTTTCCCTCTCTGTAAAAGGAGATTGAACCAGATGATGCACAAGGCCCATCCCCTCTCCTCTTGAGTGTGGCTCCTTCTCTGGGTTCAGGAAGCTTTGTCATAGGCCGAACTGAGCAGTGGAACCTCAGGCCCTTGGCCCTGCTTCCTGCTTCCTGGTAGCTGCAGAGCCTGGGCCAGGGAAAGGGTGGCTCCCAGGCAGAGCCCTGGCAGACCTGAGGGTGAGGCGGGCCCACAGCCAGCTATCACCATGGCAAATGCTCAGAAAGGGGAAGAGGACTGCTAATGATGTGCTCCTCTGTGCTGAGCCCCTACAGGCAGGACCTCACTTAATCCTTACAATCCCATGAGCTAGGTATATTATCCCCATTTCATAGGCACTGGGGCTCAGAGAGGCCATGTGGCCTACCCAAGGATCTCAGGACTCAAGAGCCCCTGTCCTTCCTCTGGTCCAGGAGATTGGCTTGGGTATGGCACAGAGCAAATCCAGAGGGAATTCCAGGCAGGGACAGATGCCTCTCTGGACTCTGCCCCAGACCTCCTTTCTTAGCCAGCCCTGCCTGATCCTGTAGGACACCTACCTGGAATTCACCCATTTCTGGGGAGGCAACTGGGATGCTGTGCATGAAGACAGAGCACTGGACCGTGAATCAGGAGTTCTGGCTTTGCCTCGGACTCACTGTGTGACCAAAGAGGATCTCTCAACTTCTCTGATTACAGAGGTTCCCTTATCTATAAAGTAGAGGTAAACCCAGCTTGCTCTGCCTCCCTTATTGAGGTTTTCTGAGATCTGAGAGGATAATGGGTGTAAAAGAGCTTGGAAAACTGTAAATAGCCTTATAGAAAAAATTGCGATTATCCTACTGTTGGCATGAGAGAGCACATGTGAGGGTAAGCACATGAAGGACATATGTTTGAGGGGGCTGTGTGCACACAAGTGGGTCTATGTCATGGTATACTTATGGAGGGTGATGACCAGAAGAGTCTGGTGCAGCTGTGGCAAGCATCTGCAGTGGGCACTCAGGTGCTGGGGGTGGGGATCACATACAAGAGTCATCCTTGAGCTCATTTGCGCATGCAGCGTTGTACTAGTGCAAATGTGTGCAAAAGCTGTGGCACTATCTCGCCTACAGGTCACACCATTAGGGCATATGCTGAAGTCCTGACTGACAGCTTCCTTGGAGACAGACAGGTCAGATGAGGCTGATGATCCGGGGGTTAGCAGAAAGCAACCTGAATCCTTCCTACCTCCCATTCAGGAAGAGGCCAGCTCCATCAAAGTGGCTATATTTCTTCCTTGAACTGACCCCATGGTCTGCTAGAAGCAGGGCAGTGTTAGACAGCCCAAGATCCTGTGGGAATTGTCCTCTGCTCTCTCTGCTTCTGTCTTCCCCCTGCCTGGCCCCCAGGTCCCCTCCTGTCACTGGCTAGGGGTATGGGAAGACAGCCCTCATGAGCACAGCTGACATTTCAATCTGTCTCCCAGATGCCTGCAAATTGCATCAAGACTTCATCACCCTCCCTGTCCAACACCCAGCCCTGTCTGGCCCATCAGCCTGATCCTCGAACAAGTGACAAATTACATCCCAGCCACTGCAGCATGCCCACAAATGTGTGCTTAAAACGCAAGGCACCAGAGCTGCATAGACAGCCTCTGGCTGAGAATAGGGAGCCTTCTGGATGGGAACCACTACATTCCACACCCTCATCCCAACCCTCACCACTGGGCTGGGCTGGGAGCCAGGCCAGCTTGAGGGGGTCATGCCTCCCTGAGACCAGAGGGGGCCAGAGGTCTCAGCTCCCAGTTTTTCCAGCTCTACAGACTGCTAGGAGGAAGGATGGCTGGTGGGAACTCAAATCCCAAAAAATCTTGAGAAAACCAGGCCAGGCCAAGATCCACCTCCTTGCTAAACCTGGAGGGCCTGGCACCTGGAAATAAAGATGTCTAGAAGTCTATTTCTTCAGGTGACACCCCCATGAGGTTGGGAGAAAAGAAAGCTGTCTTTGCCTCCAGCAAGGCAAGACTCTGCTTCTTAACACCTGTGTGACCTTTTACAAGTTCCTTAGCTTCTGTTTGCTTATGGGGATTTCACCACCTACCTTACAGAACTGTGCTGAGAATGAAATAAGATATGTAAAGCACCTAGTACAAGGCTTGACACATTGGAGGTGCTCGATGAATGGCAACTGCTGTTATTGCTGCTGTTGTGCTGCTGCTGTTGCGCCCTCTGATCCCAGCAGAGCAGCAAGACCAGGAGCAGGAAGCTAGAAGAGGTCAAGCTAGAGGTATATGGGGAACTAGGAAGGAAATACTAAATTGATTTCTACTTCTCTGCCTTTGCTTTCATAGTAATTTCCAAGCAATGAATGTCCCTCCCTTCTTCCTCCTCCTCCTCCTCCCAGCATTCCCCTCTTCAAGGCAGTTTGAGACCCACCTGCTCCATGCACTTCCCCTGAGCCTCCAAGCCTTCTGCTCTCCCCTCGAGTATTCCTGCTGCACGCATTCAATGCCACTTAAGGGGGAATTATATGCTGCCTGGCATCTCTCGATAATTACAGACTCCACGTGTGTGAGTCTTGTTTTCCCAACTCTAGAATCATAGAATCTCCAAGTTTGAAGGGACCTCACCCAGCCTCCTCCTGCTGCGGGAATTCCCTGAGGAATGTCCCCAGCAGATGGTCAGGCAGCCTCCACCCAAACGTGCCTGGGTGTGGAGCTCCTCACAGAGAGGAGGCACTTCTGCCCCTAGCACCCTGCCTTGAGCCTTCTCTTCAGCCCCAAAGACCCACCAGGTCTTTCCTCCAAGGCAGGGGTGGGGACCCTTCTCTGCCCACCTGTCCCCTCTGGAGTCCTCAGGGCACATCTATTTTCAGTGCCCACAGTCTGAGGGATAGCAACTATCTCCTTGGACCTGGCTGTGCTCAGTATCTTCCGTGCTTCTCAGCTCATAGGAATCTGGTGAGGAATGTGCCTCCATTGGCCCACACATCCACTCTCCCCACACATCTTTACTGAGACTGGACAGTGTAGAGGGTGTCGCAGCACAAATGCTACCCTGGGCTTTAATAGAGAGATGAGAAGAGGACTAGTGGGGAAAGCCTGAAGCAGAGGGACTGACTGGCCCAGCCTGGGAGATGGAGGATGGTGGTCTCAAAGGATGACCAGCTTGACCTGGAGAGGAAGAATGGAAAGCATCCTCTGTGCAGAGTCCCATATGCAAATGCCCAAAGGGATAGAGTGAGGGGTAGCCTGTGGCTTCAGTGCAGGTAAATGAGTCTGGCAAAGCCAACTGTGAGCTGGGAATTTGGGGCCTTGTTCTCTGGGCAATCTGCAGTCACCAGCAGGTTTTGGGTAGAAGAGAGACATGATCTGATCTGAGGCAATTCAGGACCTGGAGATGAGTTGGGAATGGGAGGATTGAGACAAATGGTTAGAAGGCCATTCTCAGGTGAGAAACAAGGGGCAGGAGGTTATCAGAGCCAAGACAGCAACAAAGGGACAGAGAGGAGGAACAATCTGGAATATTTGGGAGATGAGATTGGAAATGATTTGGTGACACACTTGATACTACTTAACCAGCCCAGATAGTTAACCCCCGAGGGTTAACCCTCAAGGGTTAACTGAGGCTCTGCCTCAGAGCAACGTGGTAGAGATCTTGGAGACAGTGTAGATCAGTGATTTTGAATTGCCCAGGGATCTTCTTAAAATGCAGAGTACAATTTAAAAGATCTGAGGTGGGGTCTGAGATTCTGTATTTCTTACAAGCTCCCAGGTGATCCTGAATGCTGCTAGTCCAGGAACCACATTTTGAGTAGCAAAGATCTACACTAGGCCATTTTATAAAATGAGAAAACTAAAGCTCAAATAGCATAGTTGTCCAACATCACAGGGTTAGGATGAGGTCCCAGGTCTCTGGGCTCCCAATCCAGTGCTTCTCCTACCAAGCCACACTGCCACTTCTCCTCTGGACAGAGTCTGTCCTTGTCCAATTCTTATATGACCACATAGAGGCTTGGAGCCCAGAAGGATGTGCCTGCGATTTAGGGCCAGAAGATCAGGGAGGTGGCAGAAGGGCCTGTGAGAGCTGGAGGAAAGGATCAGAGAAAGGGACCCAGAGAAAAGAGAGAATAGAATGATGGCTGATGTGTGGAGGGGAATGGTATAAGGCCAAACTAAGCAGTTAGCAGGGGCCAAGTTGGGCAGGTGAGGGCCAAGCAAGGAGTTTGGATAAATACTGCGGGCTTCATGGACTCAGTGAAGGGCCACTGGAGGATTTAAACAAGGAAGCACCATGATCAGCAACAGGTCTGGGACTATTAATTGGCTGCTGTCCAGAAAATATTCATGTGGAAGGAGTGGGTTAAGCCCTACAGGCAGGGAGGCCGTCAAGGTGCTGCAGTGATCTAGGTGAGCAATAACAGTGATAAGCTGGGAAGTGGCAAGGGGAATGAAAAGTGGTGAACAGATTCGAGGTCCAATTGACAGGACTGAATGACTGATTGGATATGGGGCATGAGGGAGGAGACAAGATGCCAGTTTCTGATTTGGGTACCCAGCTAGATAGTAAGATCATTCCCTGAGATGGGAGCCAGGGGAGCTGTTGCTTGGGGAAAGAGAGTGGCTCAGTATGAGGCAGGCTGGGTGGGAGGAGCCTGTGAAGCATCCAACAAGGGATGTCCAGGGGAAGCTGGGCACATGGGTCTGATGCTTAAAACCTCACGTTGCTGGCAAGGCCCTCAGACACGATCTAGCTCAACACACCTACCCCACCCCTACTTTACAGATGAGAAAACTGAGCCCAGGGAGGGGAAAGGACAGGAAAGGAAGCAGCTGGTGTCCTTGAAAAGCTTTGGAGACAGAAAGATGTGCTTACAAATCCCAGTTCTGTTAATAATCTCTGTGTGACCTTGGATAATTCACTTAATATCTCTGAACCTCAGGTCCCATCTCTCAGAATTACTGAGAAGGTAAGATGAACTCCTCCTGCACTGAAGTGCTTAGCTCAGGGCCTGGGGGCTCCAATGCCCAGGGGGCACTGAGAATTGGCCGTGTCTATGTCCAGGGGCAGGATCCTGAAGGCAGCAGGGCTCAGGCAGCAGGAAGAAGTCTGACTGCTACGCTTTGCTCTCCCTACTCCACTGGCAGGTCTGGAATATCAGCCTCCGGGAGGGGGAGACCATGACTGTGGAGGGCCTGGGGGCACCTGACCCACTACCTCTGGCCAACCAGTCTTTCCTGCTGCGGGGCCAAGTCATCCGCAGCCCCACCCACCAAGCAGCCCTGAAGTTCCAGAGCCTCCCGCCACCTGCTGGGCCTGGCACCTTCCATTTCCACTACCAAGGTAAGGCTTGGGCAGCTGAGGGAGAAACCTGCCCAGACTGGTTGCCCTCCTGAGGGGTCTCTGATGCTATTACAGCCTGGGGAAACAGAGAGGGGCTAGTAACACACAGTACAGGTGCCCAGCGAAGCTCTGTACAACTGGAAGTAAGTATCATTCATCTGACAACTCCAGGACCTTCCCTCTTCCACCCACCACCCTGCAAAGAGCTGGTTTTGACTCAAGATCAGGTAACCCCCAGGTGTGCCCACTGTCACTCACTCATTCATTCAGTAAACTTTCCTAGGCTCCTACTCTTTTCCAGGTTTTGCCAGGACACTGGTAATATCAAGATGAACCAGCCAAGGTACTTACCCCCAACGACTTGAAAATCTGAGAAGGAAGCAGACACAAACAGGCAATAGCAGTAGAAGCCCTCTCCCGAAATGCAAGGGGGTCAAGGTCAAAGGGGCTTGACAATGACCATCTGGAGGTCTTTAAGTGATAGCCTTGCCTTCCTGAACTGCCTTGCCCATCCTGGACCTGGCCCTACCCCCATCAGCTCAGAATACCTCAGGTATAGGGTGGAAAATGTAATGGAACAATCACAGACTTGAGAGATGGGCAGATATGTGTTTGAATCTTCTTTTCAGTGGCTATTGACCTTGGGCAGGTCATTTGACCTTTCTGGTCCTCCTTTTCCTCTGCTGTAAGATGAGACAAAACCACCTACCCTACAAAGTCACGGTTAGGACCAAGTGCTTAGCACATGCTCCATTGAGGAAACATATTACCCAGCAGGCAGGATGGAGAAGGGAGGAAAAGGGGGTTGGGGCTCTGCTGCTCTCTCATCAGCATCCCTCTTGCCCACCTCCCTCCCTGGGCACAAAGTCAGCTTGATCCTTTGCATAGGTTAACCAGTTCAGACTGGGGGATGCTAATAGGGGAATAATTGGCGTGAACAATCACTGGATTGTCTTGCATTGTCATGGACCACTTGTGCAGCCCTGCAGGGAGCCACAACTGGGCTGAAGGGCAGTCACTCTGGAGATTGGGATACTTAGAAACCTCACTTAAGGAGCACTCACCTCATCCCAGCCTCCCCACCCAAACTGGGGGAGTAGTCTTGTGTGGCAGCCAGGAGCCTGGCACTGGGCAGGGACCATACTGGGGGTTGGCAGAGGCAAAGGGCCAGCTGAGGTGAGAGCATGTAGGTAGCCCAGCTACCCTCCCTAATGTCTCATCAATCCTCCCTAGCAGTGGGCATTATTTCACACCATGGTAACCACTCTTGCTGCAAATTCTTTTGCACAAAACTCTGGACCTCCTCTCTGTCAGGCCAAAGGTGGCTGAACGGTAGCAAGTTAGAGGCCCAGCAAGAGGGAGCAGACTCCAAGGAAGGGTTGGGAGGGCTCGCCCAGTGCTGCCTCCTTGTAGGCTCCTAAAAGCCCTCTCTCCTCACCCAGTTTTTGTCAATGATCAGCTTTTTCCTTAATGAGTGTAATTCCCCTAATTATAGGCTGTAATTAGCCCTGATCCCAGAGATGGGAACAGGAGGAGCATGTGCTCACATGTGCAGCTTTGTGGGCTGGAGAAAAAGGGTACCAGAAGAGGTGGGGAGGGGCCTAGTACCCACACCCATGCTGGAACTGTCCAAGCTGAGGTCACAAGGATGGGCCCCCTTGAGGGCTTCACTGCAGGACCAAGTTCCAACTTCCCTCCCACAGCCTCAGCAAGGTGGGGAAGCAAAAGGTACTGATAGGCATCCCCCTCCTCCATCTTGAGCATTCCTGACACTGGACTTGGCCCCAGAAACAGACACCAGTGAGAAAATAACTCAGCAGATTGCAGTGATTGCAGGCTCCCCATGAATGGTCGCCATGGCAACAGGAAGAAGCTCATCCTGGGAAGTGGCACTTTACCCACTATGGAGTCCGGGGGTTTCATCATCTGACCCCAGTCCCCTACCCTCACCTCATCTGGCCCAGTTTCCATATCTGTAAAATGCAGGATCCTCCCTTCCCAGAGTTGTGATAAGAACTCAAGGGTGAGATGTAAATGCAAGGGTTGATCCTGAAGTCTGGCTCATGGTCTAGACCTCTCTGAGCCCCTCAACCCTCTCCATTCTGGGTACAGTGCCCCACATCCTTTTCCCCATCCCATCCTGGGATCTCTCCCCACGTCATTGTGAGTAACCACTCTGAACAACCACCCAGGGCAGCCGTGTCTGCTTCTCTCAGATTTCTCTGACCCTTGAACCCAGGTCTCTACTTCAACTGGGATGGAAATCAGGTGGGTTCTAGAGCCAGGAGCTTCAAGTTCCAGCTCTACCACTTACTTGCTGTGTGACTGAGGGCACACAGTCTCTCTGAACCTCAGGTTTCCTCATCTGAAAATGGGTTAATAAACCCCACTTTGGCTTCCATCATCCCAAGCTTATTGTAGACATCAAGTAGAAGCCATAAGATGAGTATAGATGTGAGGTGCTATCATTGATCAGGATTACAAATGGTAACAGCAGGCCAGTGTGTTAGGTACTTGTTCTCAGACAGGCACTGGACCTATGTCTGCTCACTTAACCTCTATAACATTGGATGCAATACTCTAAGCGGGTAGAAAACAAGGAAACTGAGGCACAGAGAAATTAGGTAACTTGCCCAAGGTGGCAAAGTAGGTAGGGGACCTATATTCAAACCCAGGCAGACTGACCCCAGAGCCCACTTGCCAAGCACAGCCCTGTACTTCCTGCCAACCATAATTGGCCACTCATTGGCCATCTCTCAAGGACATTGTGAGAGATGGAAGAGTAGGAATCATCCTCCCTCTTTCACAGACACAGTAACTAAGGCCAGAACAGGTGAAAGTCACAAAACTAAAAGTCACAAAACTCATTTCTGGACCCTGATTTGCCCTTTTTCTGTTCACACAAAGGTACATAGAGGCTAGTAGATTCTCTGCCTGGACTTTCTTCCCATCTACCTGGTGCCATCAATGAGGGTGGACCCCCCCCACCCCAAGACCCAAGTTCCTCAGTCTAGATGGTCCCCATCCCTCCTACCTCCCGAAGGGTTGACAGGGCCTGTATCCCAAGCCTTCTCTCAGCCTTTCTCCTTGACCCCTCTAGGCCTTCTTCGCCCTCTCTCAGACCCAAGCCAAAATCCCCATTTTTAGCTACCACCCCAGCTTGGCTCCAGGTCTGGATTTGTCAGGTTGTTTTGTGGGATTTGCTGCCACCATTTGGTCATACTTGGTATGACAATTCCAAAAGCTACCAGGTTTCCCAGGGCAACTTGTCCCTCCCCCAACTCCCATAAAGGCATGCCCTCCCTCCCCGCTTTCCCTCCCCACCCCTCGCCCCCATCCTGTTTTTAAAAGAAGTCCATAGCCATTGCCATGAAGCTTTTTAGAATTTCTCAGTGACTACTGGGAGAACCTTTCCTGCTGCAATTCATACTTGCCGCCTATTACAGGAAAAATAATATCCACACTTTATATCTTATATATAAGCTTTTCACTATTCAAGTGCTTTTATGTCTGCAAACCATTTAATGAATATCTCTTGAAGATATATTATCAGCTGGGCGGCAGGAACACCAAGCTGAAGAAAATACTATTCCATTTATTCTCACAATAACCCTGTAGATGGGCTGGCATTTTAAACCTCATTGAACAAACAAGGTAACAGACACAAAAAAGGTTAAGTAACCTGCCTAAGTGTCACAAAGCTTGGACCAGAACCCAAGCTTCCTAACTCCCAGATCTGTGCTTGCTCGACTAAAAAGTCCAGGCTGCTGGAAATATTGGCACCTTCTAGGGAGGGGACTGAAGTCTTTTTTTGTAACTCCCAATGCTTCCTCTGGCCCCAAGTGACACCTCCAGGTAGTCTGGGGCAGACTGGGCAGGACTTTTTTCCCCTGGCAATGGCTCAGCTCCCCCTCACACGCACATACACACATACGATATTACCCGTTCTCTCTTTGCAGCCTATCTCCTGAGCTGCTACTTTCCCCAACGTCCAGCTTATGGAGATGTGACTGTCACCAGCCTCCATCCAGGAGGCAGTGCCCGCTTCCACTGTGCCACTGGCTACCAGCTGAAGGGTGCCAGTCTCCTTACTTGTCTCAATGCTACTCAACCCTTCTGGGACTCCCAGGAGCCTGTATGTATTGGTGAGTGGCCCCAAGGGAGGGGGCTCAGTGCTGAGCAGAGAAGTGACGTGGAGGACTCATCCCTGTTCTCTATCGCTGTCAGGCACTTTCATTTGCTCTCCATAAGGAAGCCAGAAAATGGTCACATACCTCAATAGCATTCATCTGACCTGCACTTATTGGGCACATACTATATGGAGGCACCACAGGTATAAAGAACTGAATTTAAAAGGGATTCCACCCTCAAAGAGCCCACAGTTCCAGGAAGGGGGAGAAGAAGGCTACACATAGGTCACCAATTTCCAGTAGGAAGTAAGAAGTACCAATGAAGAGACATTAAGTGACCTGGGAGGGGAGGGAACAGTCATTCTTAGTTGGGTATTTAGAAGGCTTCTGGCACAGAGGAAGGAAGTTGAGGTTATCCAGGGACACAGAGGACAGCCAGGTTTGGCTGAAGCCTGAGACATGTGGAGAGCAGTGCAAAGGCCTTGAATGTCACTTTTTGAGAGAAAAAGGGAGGAGCTCAGAACTATTCCTCAGGAGAGCCAGCCAGGTAGTGGTCTGAAGGCTGGGAGGCCAGCCCAGCAAGAGGGTTTGAACTTAGACAGTGACTTTTGGCAACAGAGAGGAGGGAAGTTCGAGAGACACTGATGAGGGAAAGGGGAAAAGGGAAAGGGGACTCCTAGGTTCTGGTCCTGGGTGATCAGGAGGTTTGGGATCACTGCAAATGGAAGAGGGCTTGTTGGAGGAAGGAAGATAATAAAGTGTTTGGTTTGCCATATGAGAGGCAACTTGGGATTTTTTCTTTTTTTGGGGGGTGGGAGTTGGGCTTTTGAATCTTATTTCATTTTATAAGTTCTTCCTGGCTGCCAGGCACAACCAGAGATGAATAGAACAAACGTGTTCCCTGCCCTCGAGGAGCTCTGTCTAGTGGGAAGACTGACAGACAGCTCAGTACACAAAATGCTGTAACAGGGGTAAACTCAGGGTGTCGTGGAAACCCAAGGGAGGGAGAGAAGCTCCCAAATGAAGAAGGGGGCAAGGAAGTCTTCCTGAGGACATAGCATGGAAGGATTACAGAAATGTTAGTTTGGGGAAGTGGGGTAGGTTCCTGGAACAGCATATGCAAAGGTGTGGAGGCATGAAACAGCATGACATAGCAAGGACACAGTGAGGTATGCCTGAAGGAGAGGGTATATGAGGAGAGGGGACTGGAGCTGAGTCTGGAGAGAATCAGATTCATAAAGGACTTGGATGCCATTTTGAGCTTGAACTCTATCCTGAGGGTAACAGAGAGCCACTTTAAGCAAAGGATGGGGCATGATCAGATTGAAGGATAATTCCATTCTGAGACCAAGCAGAAAGGTAGGACTGCGCTCTCTGCAGAGTGGCAGAGCAGATACTCACCCCAGCCCCCCAGGAGCTTTATTAGGTTTAAATACTTGCTGCCTTGAGCATTTGGAGACAAAGGTACTGTGTATTGGTCATGGTAGCCTGGTCTCTGAGTGCTGGGAAGGTTCAGAGCTGTTTGTCCAGGGGAGAAAAGCACTGCCTGGAACCAGCCACACTCCTCTTGCCTGAGGCCTCTTCTCTGGCCCCACTTAACTGCCAGGAGCTTGTGGCCAAGTAACCCAGCAATTCTGACCACATGCACAGGCAAACTGCTCAGCCTTTCCTTGGAAAAAGAGGACAGTTCCAGGCCAGAGGGGTCAGCATTGGAAAAGCCCTAAGGGGTCGGCCCAGGAATGACAGTGGTAGTGATGCCTGAAGAGCTATTTCAGAGTGTTTGAGGCCACCTATGGCTAGCAGTGTTAGCTAAGCCACAAGATTTTGGGGTGGATGGCATGCTCATCAGGTGTTTGTCATCCCTGATCTGTTAACCCCCCTTTATACATTCATTAACTCGTTTTACTCAATCAACACTGAACACCAACTCTGTGCCTGGCCTAAAAAGATCTGGCCCTTGCCTCAGGGAGTCCCAGTTATGGAACATACCCAAACGAAGAACTGGTTCTAGGAAAGTGGGATGAGGAAGGGATAGCAGGTGTAACCAAGAAGATTGGAGCCCAGAGTAAGGGCTTCAAATAAAGTCCGCCCGGGGGGAGTCAGGGAGGGCCTCCTGGAGGAATCAGCAGAGAAGGAAAGTGATTTACCCTGGGTCGCGCAGGCAAGCAGTGAAAGATCTACCTACATTTAAGAGTTGCACATAAATAGTCCCAGAAGTATGAAGGGTTAGCAGGTAGGCTTCTGGTGTCCAGGCTGTCTGGAGTTGTAGGGTCACAGGGCTAAAAGATTGACCTTTGGGACCATGACAGCAAAGATGGCCAGGGAGGCAAAGGTCCCTGTTGCCCCATGCAGAAGGTACAGAGATGGGATGGAGAGCAAGGCTTGTTAGGCTGCCTGGGATCATTAGGGGCCCAGCCTACATCCTGTCCCTGTCTCACAGCTGCCTGTGGTGGTGTGATCCGTAATGCCACCACTGGCCGTATTGTCTCTCCGGGCTTCCCGGGCAACTATAGCAACAACCTCACCTGCCACTGGCTGCTCGAGGCTCCTGAGGGCCAGCGGCTACACCTGCACTTTGAGAAGGTTTCCCTGGCAGAGGATGATGACAGGTGAGGAGCTGTCCTAGTGGGATGGGAGTGCCTAGCCTGGTAATACTCTGCTGGAGGGATGCTCCCCAATCCTGGGCCACACCTATGTCAGTGATCAGCCACTTAGCTGCCACTCTCCTGACCCAGGCTCATTATTCGCAATGGGGACAACGTGGAGGCCCCACCTGTGTACGATTCCTATGAGGTGGAATACCTGCCCATTGAGGGCCTGCTCAGCTCTGGCAGACACTTCTTTGTGGAACTCAGTACTGATAGCAGCGGGGCAGCTGCAGGCATGGCCCTGCGCTATGAGGGTGAGCTTTCTGGGACCTAACCTGGGGGGGGGGGGATGGGCTTGGGCCCAGGGTTTTTCTCCCATACCCTTCCACTCTCTGCCTCCATTCTATCACTCTCCAAAGTTGGCCCCTGCTCACCTAGCACTTAGGCACACTCTCCCTGCTCCTCCCCTCAGGTCCAGGATTTCTACCCCGTCTTTGCAGGAGACTCTTGCCTGGACCCGAGTCCTCTGATCCAAGAGAAGGAATTCTCCAGATTTATTTATTTATTTATTTATTTAGTTTGTCTTTTGTCATTTTTCCGTGTCCGGCAACGGATCGCAACCCTCAGTGTTGCCCCCGTACCGGACCGGGGACCGGCAACGGGATCGCAAGCCTCGGCGTTGCTCCCGCGCCTCGCTCAGCCAGTGAGCGGGAGCCAGTCTGTATGTGGGATCCGAACCCTCGGACGGGAGCGCCGCCGCGCTTCCCAAGCGGCGCACTATCCAGTGCGCCACTGGGCCGGCCCACCAGATTTATTTTGAAAAACAAAAAAGGCCCCAATCCTTAGAGAAGGAGAACTGATGCAAGAGACATTCTAGAACCATCATGCACGCATGTGTCCATTAATTCATTCACACACAAAAAAATTTATTGAGCACTTTCTCTGTATCAAATACAAAACTAGGCACTGAGAATACAATGGTGATCAAGACAGCCTCCTGAACAGATAGGGATGGATGCTCTAGGCTGTCCATTTCCATCCTCCCATGCCAAGCCCAGAACATACATTTGTACCCAGGAAGAAAAAGTGCCTGGGGAAGGAAGTAGGAGGATGCCTGCCCTCTGTATTTACTCCAGTTGAGGCTGAGCTGGGCTGGGCCCTGTGGTTTACAGCCTTCCAGCAGGGCCATTGCTATGAGCCCTTTGTCAAATACGGCAACTTCAGCAGCAGTGCACCCTCCTACCCTGTTGGTACCACTGTGGAGTTCAGCTGCGACCCTGGCTACACCCTGGAGCAGGGTTCCATCATCATCGAATGTGTTGACCTCCATGACCCTCAGTGGAATGAGACAGAGCCAGCCTGCCGAGGTCAGTAGGCACCAGTGAATGGGCCTGCCAGGGGCAGAGAGCAGAGTGGGTATGAGGGAACCACCACAGAGCCTGGGGCCACAGGGACCCTGTGACATGTGTGATTCAGGCTTCTCCCAGAGGAAGAGGTGGGATCTCCCAGCAATGGGTGGGCACTCCTGCGGGCAGGTGGCAGCCCCGACATGGCACTGGGGGGAACGCGGAGGGGACACGCCTCCCGGGCCTCCCCTGCCTTCCAGCTGTGTGCAGCGGGGAGATCACAGACTCGGCCGGAGTTGTGCTCTCCCCCAACTGGCCAGAGCCCTATGGCCGTGGGCAGGACTGCATCTGGGGTGTGCATGTGGAAGAGGACAAGCGCATCATGCTGGACATCCGAGTGTGAGTGCTACTGGGTTAGGCCAAGCCAGCTCCTGAGGTCTGGGGACATCTCTTGTCCAGCCAATCCTGGGGCCCCTGGCCTGCTCTGCCCTGACAGTCCTCCTCCGCAGGCTGCGCATAGGCCCTGGTGATGTTCTTACCTTCTATGATGGGGATGACCTGACAGCTCGGGTCTTGGGCCAGTACTCAGGGCCCCGTGGCCACCTCCAGCTCTTTACCTCCATGGCTGATGTCACCATCCAATTCCAGTCGGACCCTGGGACCTCAGTGCTGGGATACCAGCAGGGCTTCGTCATCCACTTCTTTGGTGAGCTTGTCCCTGCCCCATTCAGAGTGCAGACCCCAAACCACAGCAAGTCAGAGGCCAGGACAAGGAACAGCCCGAATGCTTTTTCTGACAAGGGAAAGCTGGAAAAGTTCCAGATATTACCCAAAGGAAACTAATCCTGTTCTCCATTTTCCCTGAGAGCCCCCCTAAGAGAAAGGGAGCCTTCTGTTGCAGCAAAGGGATTTGGGTAGGCAGCAGGAAGAACCTAACAAAAATAGGGAAAAGGTGTTGGTTTCTACCTGACAATCTTTAATAGAAGTGACAATTTCTCTCACCCTACATGGCCCCATCTCTCAGGTGTGAGGAACTGGCCAAGGTGCTTTTGGAAGTAAGGCCAAAGCCTAGATGATAATGCTGCAATCCAGGAGACAGAGTGATGTTAGGGACAGGCAAGGAGAGGCTTGAGCACAGGAATGAATCATTGAGCCTGCCTAGGCCAGTCTAGGCCCAGGACAAACTGGCAGGGGCCAGAGAGCCCTCAGAGTGAGGGGGGCCAGCACAGTCCCTTTGGTGCTAGCTGAGGGCCTGCATCTTGCTGCTTCTGTGTCCCCAGAGGTGCCCCGCAATGACACATGTCCAGAGCTGCCTGAGATCCCCAATGGTTGGAAGAACCCGTCACAGCCTGAGCTGGTACATGGCACTGTGGTCACTTACCAGTGCTACCCCGGCTACCAGGTGGTGGGATCCAGTGTCCTCATGTGCCAGTGGGACCTAACCTGGAGTGAGGACCTGCCCTCATGCCAGAGGGGTGAGTGTACCTCTTTCCCATGCTCCCTTACCCAACACAACCTACAGTCCTCTCTCCTGGATTCTGAATCAGACTTCACTGTTATTAGCTGGTATCCTTTAAGTTCCTTCACCTCTCATAGCTTCCGTGTCCTCATCTGTGAAATGGGGATAATACCTATTTATAGGGATATCAGCCACTTTTTCCAAGTACTTTGTTCCTGGTAAATGGCCAATCAGTGTTTGATGACCCTAATGGATGGGCAGGGGACAAACGAGGAGCCACACCAGCAAAACAGTAGGGAGAGATAAATAGGAGGTGGAGCCATATGACATGAACATGTTAACTGGCCTGGAACAAAGCCAGGGTAGACTGAGCTTTGCTGAGTTTTCCTTAGGCAACTTCCCTTCATCACTCCCCACCCATAGTGACTTCCTGCCATGACCCTGGGGATGTGGAACACAGCCGACGCCTCATATCCAGCCCCAAGTTTCCTGTGGGGACCACAGTGCAGTATATCTGCGACCAGGGTTTTGTGCTGACGGGTAGCACCATCCTCACCTGCCATGATCGCCAGGCCGGCAGCCCCAAGTGGAGTGACCGGACCCCCAAATGTCTTCGTAAGTGTCAGATGAGTAGGAGGGGAAGCCTCTGGTAAGACATAAAGGATGCTATCCCTGGAGGCTAGTACCCTGGCACCCTCACTGGGCTCTGCCTGCTTTGCAGTGGAACAACTCAAGCCATGCCATGGCCTCAGTGCCCCCGAGAATGGAGCCCGCAGTCCTGAGAAGCGGCGACATCCAGCAGGGGCCACCGTTCACTTCTCTTGTGCCCCAGGCTATGTGCTGAAAGGCCAGGCCAGGATCAAGTGTGTGCCTGGGCACCCCTCGCATTGGAGTGATCCCCCACCCATCTGTAGGGCTGGTGAGTGCCCTGCCACCCCCCAAAACCCTGGCTGGCCGATAGGACTGTTCTGGCAAACATATCCAATGCTGAGAACCAGAACCACCTGCCCTAGCCCCCTTCATGTTACCCTTGGTCTCCCCAGTCTTTGCCAGATCCTTCTGAAGTGGTATCACCAAGACAAATGCTGGAGTGGGCTCTCCTTGGACAAATCTTTCCCATAATCAGCCCGTTACCTCCACTCCCTGCTTTAGTGGTTTGGCCCATTGGGCTCATTCACTGTCCTTGGCCCTTCCCTCTTGTTCCAGCCTCTCTGGATGGGTTCTACAGCAGCCGCAGCCTAGATGGTGAGTCCCTATCCTTGAGGACCAGGAAAATCATCTCCCTGCCCATGGTTCTCCACTCCCAGGCCATGGGTTCCCCAAGGAAGGAGGCCAGAGAAAGAGAGGTCTGAGCCTAGCAGGGCAAAAAGCTCTTTCCCTGCTCCCAGCCAGCTAGAGAGAGCTGGTAGCCAGATGCCTTTGGACTGAGATGATGGGCTGTTGGCCCCAGGTGACAGAGACCTCTGCTCTAATCCCACCCTCTGTGTTTTCAGTTGCCAAGGCACCTGCTGCCTCCAGCACCCTGGATGCTGTCCACATTGCAGCTGCCATCTTCTTGCCGCTGGTGGCAATGGTGCTGTTGGTGGGAGGTGTGTACCTCTACTTCTCCAGGTGAGTCTGGCTTCTCTTCCTCCTCTGTATATCTGACTCACTCCTGCCCAGCATTCCTGACTCAAAGGCTTCTCTGCCCAACAGGCTCCAGGGGAAAATCCCCCTCCAGCTGCCCCGAACACGCCCCCACCCCTACAACCGCATCATGGTGGAGTCAGCATTTGACAATCCAACCTATGAGACTGGAGTAAGTACCCATGCTAGCCTTGACACCCTTTCTAGGACCCAGTTTTCTGCTCCCTTGGGCAAGTACTCCTGAGGGTCCTGCCAAGCCCTCTCGCTTTTCCCATTTTCCTTGGGAGGTGGATTATGGCCTGGCAAAACTTATACAAGTTTCCAACTCCCAGCAGTCTCTTTCCTTTGCAGGAGACGAGAGAATATGAAGTCTCCATCTAGGTGGGGGCAGCCTGGGGACGCCACCTCAGCCCTGCATCACAGCCCAGCAGCAGGGCTTCCGGCTTCCTGCTGTCTCTCCACCTCCTGTACATACCACTTGGGAAGAGACGCCACCTAGCCCTCAAGAAGTTGTGCCCTTCCCTGCCTGCAATGCCTACCATGGCCTATTTTCTTGGTACCACTGCCTACTTAGGGCCCTTCCTTGGATGCAAGTCAGGGGGCAAATACCTATGGGAAGAACACAGCTGGAGCACATGCATCAACAGCCAGCATTCTTCTGACCCTCCTTCATGCCCTGGACCTCCAGCCTGGAATTCCCAGGCAAAGCAGGAGTACCATCCTCCCTATAACCACAATCCAACCCTGGCACTTAGAACCCTGCAGCAGAGTTCACTTGATGGTGGTGGAAACAGCCCCTCACAGGGCCATCACCAATAGCCAAAACTGCTTTCAATGGTGACCTGTGGGTAGTCCTGGCATGCCAACATGAAGAGGTCTCTAATCCTTCTCTAAAGCCCAGGGAATGGACAGTTCTGCCTCTTGCCCCATCCCAGTAGAGGTAATAATTCTAAGAAATCCTGTGGGATTCAGGGACCTGACCCCAAGCTCAGGTTGGGCTTCCCTGGGCACTCATGCTCCACACCAAAGCAGGACACCTCACTGTACCCCTGGCCACCCTATACCCTGAAGAGAGGGAGACCTTCCCCTGATGTTGATCTGGCTGTTACAAACATCTTCTTTCCCACTAGTCCTTCCTCCAACCCCAGACACTTGCCAGGTTCCCCTCCTGGCCACTAAGTTATGGTATGAGGGGAGTGGGGAGGCATATTCTGGAGAGCAGCAGAGGTCCGAGGACCCAGGAATTTGGCATGGAACAGGGGGTCAAAGAATCCCAGGGAGCAGCCTAGGAGCTGGCTGAAGGTCACTTTGTATATGTAATGTATTATATGGGGTCTGGCCTCCAGCCAGATAACAATCATTTATTTCTTTTGTTTCCTTATTAAAATGGTGTTTTTGAAAAAAACCAAGAAATGACAAAGGTGGATAGTGCTTTCTTGGAGGGAAGGAAGGTGGGAGATAAATGGGATGTGGACTTCAGGACCACAGGCATGCTGACCCACCAATCAATCATCCCCAGATTTTACAAAGAAAGTTAAATGCAGTAGAGCAGGGGCTACTGTCCCCAAAAGGTCAGTAACGGCCAGTGAAATGAGAGGCCCCAATGGCTGGTGCCACAGGGATGTGGAAGCCCAGGAACACAACTGCTCATCCACCCAACTGCCTCATTTCCTATTTGCCAGGTCCAAAACTACTGGCTTGTACACTTTTTAATCCCTTCTTAATGCCACTGGATTGCCGACAAGGCCCAGGAAGTCTGAAACATCTCTCCTTCCCCTTCTTCCCAAGCAAGCAAAGCTTGGGACACTGAAATAGGAACTAGAGATTGAACCTCTGAATATGAGGCCCTAGTCTGGCTTGGCTTTAGAGAACATCCAGATTGTCAGGAGCAGGAACAATGCAGTTTAGGAGCTTGATTCCTATGCTAGGCAAAAACCTACCCATGGGCTTTGGAAAGAGGTGGCTGGACAGGATCTGCTTCAGTCTGCCCCTTCACTATGGCCCCCGGTGTTTCCTGAGATGAAAGCATTTGCCCAGCATTTTCCCCAGCATGCATTCCATGCTTAGAGGTATGCCCTGCATGGCTGCTCTCCAGAGTAAGAGCAAGAGGCAGGAAACAGGCAGAAGCAACAAGACAAAATAATTCCTGAGGCTGGCTGGTTGGCTCAGTTGGTTAGAGCACAGTGTTATAATACCGAGGTCAAAGGGGCCCATAGCCAGCCAGCCACAAAAAAAAAAAAAAAAAAAAAAAACCCCCAAAAAAAAAAAAAAACCCCCAAAAAAAAAAAAAAACCCCCAAAAAAAAAAAAAAACCCCCAAAAAAAAAAAAAAACCCCCAAAAAAAAAAAAAAACCCCCAAAAAAAAAAAAAAACCCCCAAAAAAAAAAAAAAACCCCCAAAAAAAAAAAAAAACCCCCAAAAAAAAAAAAAAACCCCCAAAAAAAAAAAAAAACCCCCAAAAAAAAAAAAAAAAAAAAAAAATCCCCGAAAGAAAAAAGGAAGCCACCAGCACCTTCTGCTTCTACAGTCTTAAAACAGAGAGGTCTTGACCACTCATGCTGCCCACCCCTGGCTCTAGCACAAGCCACCTAGAGGGATGGAGAAGCTCCAGTTCACGCAGAGTGCAGTGCCTAGATTAGCCACAAGAGGTCATTTCCAAAGGCATCTGTATCCCACCTGCTCCCTCTCCTCAATGCCCCTGAACAGCCAGGGCTGGAGCTCTCCAAGGTGGCACCAACTCCTGACCCCACCAAGTTGACCTCATCTTCTAAGTTCCAAGAGGAAGGAGGAAGGTGTGTGGAGTGATTAGTTTCCCTGGCACTTATCAACAGAACCAAGTCTTATTTCCCTCATTAGCCCACTGCCTGTTTCTGTTCTCAGCTGCAACTGATGGTATTGATCAAAGCAAAGTCTTGCTCCCTGGGCATGTGCCAACAGCTTACTTATCTGCCCTATAGTGCCTTCAGGCTGACACAGCAGAACAGCTGAGCCCTGAGCAGTAGAAAGAAAGCCAATGAGAATGAGAGCGAGCACAGGAAGGTCCAACTTTTGAGGGCCTGTGGCTTGAAGTACAGCCCTAGGAGACAGGTCTGGCCAATTCCATACAAGCAATCTACCTTAACCCACCTCTCTCTAAGGGCCACATCTCTGGCCCACAGCTACTGAAATCTACTGTTGGCTGAAGCTGGCAGAAGGCAGAAAGCAGTCAATTTACCTGACATTCTCCACACCACTCTCATGATTTTGTCATTCTTTCCTGGCACCAAGAGAGTCATCAGAAAAGTGAAAAGTCAGAAAAACTGAAACCTAAGACTCCACCACTTGCTTCCCCAACCTATCTAACACATACTCCTTACTGTCTCAAAAGCAGCAGCAGCAAAAATTCCTCACAGGCAGTTGGCATGATGTGGTGTACAGTGTCCGGCCAGGGAATCGAGCTATATGTTTCATTCCTAGATCTGCTGTAAATTCACTATGTGACCTAGGCAAATTACTGCTCCTCTTTGTGCATCTGGAAATGAGGGGATTAAGTCAGATGGTCCCTAAGCCCTTTCCAGTTTTAAGACTCTGAGAATGCTAAATGTGTCTTAACATTAAAAATGGGCAGAACAGAGCTACCTGTCAACAATGCCAATTACACGCCTAGTGTCAGGCACAACGAAGCGCCCCTTCTCCCTTGCTTCGTCCAGTCAGGCAGCGATAACTAGCTATCTCTGCCTGCGCTACTAAGGAAAGGGGTGGGCGTCCCAAAGGGGAGCATGAATCCCCGCCCAGAATTCTAGATGAGTCCCTTAGACTACAAAACCCAGCAGACAGCACTTCAACCCTCAAAAGTATCCCTTCCCGGCAGGCAAATATCTCCGGTGAGTCCGTCCTACCGTACAGTTCACCGCACGCACACGAAACTACTGCTCCCACAACCCATCAGACACATCGCGATTCTTGCTCCCAGGGTGCAATACGGTCCCGTTCGCCCTTTGAACCCCCTACGCATTGCAAACTGGGAGTTGAAGTCTGCAGTAGTCAGGTAGTAGGGCGTTGTCAGGATTACAACTCTCCGCTTTTGGCTTCCTCTCGAAGAGCAATTCTCAGGGACAATGGTCAAGAGAGGGTAGTAACGGACATGCGGAACTCTCCATGGTGTCATCACCACACAAGGCAGGGATGCTTGGGCTAAAATTAACTGTCGGGAGCGGGAGGGAAGTAGGAACTGCAGCCACCCGCCACCAAAAGCGTCGTTTTCTGTCGCAATGTCTTTTCTCTTTACCAATATGGCGGCCTAGCCCAGCCACACCTGACGCTGGAACCAAATAGTCCAATACGATATCCCTAAGAATGTGCTGTCCCCGACAGCCTACCAGCCTCATTCAACACCAGTTTCCTCCTTCCTGTTCATGCCTGTGGACTCCAAGGGCATGGTAGCCCATATCCCATTACCAAAATGGCGAACGGAGAAGCTTTCTTCTGAGGGCTTGCAGGTGACAACACGCCTGCGCGGAAGGCGGCTGTGTTGTTATGGGGCGGGAGGGGAGCACCCCCAACACGCCTGCGCGGGAACAGAGTCCTCTTGGTCTACACACAGACACCAATGGATGAAGAGTCCCCAGGTTCTTGCGGCTGCGCTATGACCTCTACGAGCTTTCCCAGGCACCCGCGCGAGACCTCAGGTCCCGCCCTTTTATCTCAGTACGCTGGCGCGGGGCAGAAAGGCGGGGCTTCGGAGTTCCAGACGAATGCCAGCGCGGCTGCGCGCTGGGGGGTACCCCCTCACCGCGGCTGCGCGGGAGCCCGGCCGCCGGCTGTCACTGCGGTTGCGCGCGGCGAGCGGCGATCCCGGGGCGCCTGCGCGGGTGGCTTTGCGGGCGCTCGCGGTAAGTTTGCGCCAAGTGCGCGGCAGCCGGGACGCAGACGGCGGCGGCGGCGAGAGGCGGAGCCCGGGGACCACCCCCCATCACCACCCTTCCCCCAGTCACCTCACGTACCACAACCTCACCTAACCTCTCACCCCCCCCCCCGATCCCCCAACCCCAGGATGGCAGCGCCCGCCAACCTTCCCGGCCCGACCAGCGGTCGCCAGCGCCGGCTTTAGCCTGTGGGACTAGGCCCCACCGAGGCCTGACCCCCGGAGCCGGGACCCACTGTGCAACCAGCCGCCGGGCCGGGGCTGAGGGGCCGCTCCCCCCTCACGGCCCGTGGGGAGGACGCTGCCGTCCCGGGAACTGGGGGCCGGGGGGTGGGGGGGAGCCAGGGCGAGGAAGTCGGGACCCGTGCTGGGAAAAAAGAAGGGGAGCCGGGGTCAGCAGCGCCCCCTCCTCCCGCTTCCCCCCTCCCCCCGGGGTTGGGGGGGCCGGAGCAGAGAGCACCCAGCCCGGGAGGTGGATGAATGTGGGAGAAAATGGAGACCAAGACGATCGTGTACGACTTGGACACGTCGGGGGGGCTGATGGAGGTAAGAGTGGCCCTCCTCATCCCCTTCCCTCATCGCCTGGAGGGAACCTCCGCCCCACAAAGCCGGCCCTAAGCTCGAAGCGCCAGAGGGTCGAGGGAGGGGGGCTCTTCCTCACCCAGCCTCTCCCTCCCATCTTTGCAATTTAGGGGGCTGAGCTCAGCCTCCGAGGACGTTTGCAGCAGTTTCACCTACCCGCCGCCCTCGATTCGCTTTCCCGAAGCGCCAGCCCACTCCATCTCGTTGCACCGACGGGCCTCCCCACCCCCTTCTGTCGGCCCCTTTGTGCTTCCCCCAGCACGTCCGGGTACCGGGCTTCAGGCCTCTCCCAAGCCGGTCTGTGGAGTCCCCCACTGTCCATACAAGGAAGTGGCGAGAAGGGAACCATGCACCCTCTCCCCATCCCCCTACCCTGATCCTCCCCATTTGGAAGAGGCTGTTCTCGTTGTTGTGCTGCAGGAACGCGGTTAGGGTGGGCTCCCCCTGGTTCCGGGGGCTGAGAGGTTCTGAGAGCAGCCTGGATGGGAGGAAGAAGGACAAAAGGGGGGAGAGGGGTGGGTGACGGAGAAGCCGCGGCGGGGGGGCGACGGACCGCCCGGGAGCTCCGAGTGTGCACACACGCCGTTTGTTTGTGTGTGCAGCAAATCCAAGCTCTGCTGGCTCCCCCCAAGACGGACGAGGCAGAAAAGCGGAGTCGGAAGCCTGAGAAGGAGCCACGGAGAAGCGGCAGGGCCACCAACCACGACAGCTGTGATAGCTGCAAGGAAGGTGGAGATCTCTTGTGCTGCGACCACTGCCCGGCCGCCTTTCACCTCCAGTGCTGGTAAGGTTGGGGACCCCTTTGGAGCCCCTTGGCGGAACCTTCTCGGCACATTCCTTCACCCGGCCTGCCCCTGCCTGCCAAAATAACGGGCGCTTGCAGCCGCTAGCTGACTTTCTGCAGCCGCTGGGGCGAGCGCCTCCCTGCCCC